TTGACCAGAGTGGGGTTTATTGTTCCATACACAATAAACTGTTCTGGACTCTGGTGCTGTTTAGGCCCCTACTCTGTGGGGATTGTCTAACTCGCCAGGGGGCGTAGTACGCTTAAAAGTGGCTTGGGCCACCATGGGGTTAAGCCTTTCAGGCAGGAACCCACGTTAAACCCTTGCCACAAATTCTTCCTACAATTATGTTGTTAGGAGATGACGTACTTGATGGTTTGAGTTCTCATGAAAATTAATCGATTTTCTAAGAATTCAAATTCCAAGGAGAAAGAAAATTCATAATGCTTTACTTACCTGCATCATGCAGCTGACGATTGCAGAAATGATTAACAGTGATTAGTAGAAAATACGGCGGAAAAATGTCGCAATGCAGTTCGATTTTGGTAATTTTCTTGTAAAAGCAGGGACAAAGTCAGTCGCGCGGACAACACCAAAACGAGAATTATTTATTTATTTATTGGGGAGCTCGAAATATATAAAGAGGGATACTACATCATAAATGTTCCAGGGAAGAAACTATTCACAAATGGTTTTTGTGGGCGCCCATCCTTTTGACAAATAAATACTGTAAAAATATATTTACAGAGTCTACGACACATTACCATCCTTTACGAAGCCTAATATTCCTCTTGTGGTAGATATAAGAATTCGGACCTATGCCGTTTTGAAGCGCGTTTCTACCGAGACGTTTTATGCTTCATTGCCAGATGGCTTATCCAATACATGATCGCAATATCGCGAAACTCGAGCTATTTACATTTCACCCTTGGATCCATAGCCTCATCTAGGAGGCGCAAATGACACAATACCGTTCAGTTTTGCTCTCTTTTATTATCTTTTCGTTCTCTTGTAGTTTTTTTTATTTTTGCGTTTTCCTTTCCCCTTTTCTTTCGATCTTGCAAGCAGACCTTAGAGAAGAAGAGTCTTAGCATATCACATCTTATTCTAATCCTTACAATCTTCTTTTGTAGCCGTAAATTTTTGTCACATCCACCACCGAAAAATTACGGTTATATTAATTTTGCCAAAACGTTTGCACTCTCCTGAAGAAGGCGTGAGAGGCCTTAAGACGTACTTATATTCTTGATAACAATCAAATTCTAAATCGATTTAGCCACGGCTGTGTCTTCTGCCGTTTGTAGAAATTTTGATAACAGTTTCAAGTTCGCAAAAACATTGAAAGTCTTCATGCAAACAACTTAGTACTGAAGATGAGCAAATCGGTCAAAGGGCGAGCCTATAGTACAATATAAATTGAGAACAGTCCTGTTTTGAATAACAAACAAATTTGGATTTTTTTGGATTTTCATAAATTATAACAGATGTCACGCTAAAAATTTTCATGCTTAGCCCTTGGGTGGGCCCTCTGTTATCTATATAAAAGTCGCCTGGGTCCACTCGCCTGTTAGTATTGCATTCTTCTTTTCGGTTTGTTTCTTCATTTTTTTTCTAAAGGTAAAGATGATGGGTATTAAAGATTCGATCGCTGCCAAATATAATTTTCTTACGAGTTTTATTTTCAATTTTTTTTTTTGTTTTTTTATTTTTTTGTTTTTCACAAACATTTAGTATTAAAATGGAAAGCGATTTGTCTGGTTTTTAACTAATAATTTATCAACTATATGTTATTGCAAGTATGTTTGATTTGAGTTGTGAGTGAGACCGAGAGCGTCACAGTTACCGTCACACTTTATAAAAGTATTACATGTGTTGCTTTTGTGATTGTTTGTTGCATTTGTTGCACTTATACATATATTATTTCTTAATAAATTCATATATAAAGATTATATAGTGATGTTGTTGCTGATGCTGATGCCAGTCGTTTGTGTGTTATGACGGCGACTAATGTTGTTTGTCAGTCACTTAGTCATTCACGTGCACTTACTTCAACATAAGCAGCTGAGGCGACTAAAACTGTGACTAATACATGTTCGTGTCCACATTGAAATACGGACGATATATGCGTGTGTTTGTGTTTTGTTTAGTTTGAATGATTGACCATCGTCTTTGTCACAGTACACAGCTTTAGTGTTTTGCCAGTTTGTCGCAAAATATTTTATTTTTCTTTTTATTTATTTATTTATGTTTTTATTTTTTTTATTTTTTTTATTTATTTCCAAGTGAATTTTCCTGTTTTAAAAAGGAAAGAAAAAAACCCGAAATAAAAAATTTTGATTCATAATCATCAACGTAAGACCTGAACATTATTTGCTGAATGGACTATGCAGACCGATCGACATCACTGTTGACGCTTACGTACAGCGCTAAGTAAAATTGCTAAAATAAAGTTAAAATTTTTATGAACCCCTCATATACATACACACACGTAATTTGTTAGTCTATCTATACATTTTTTTTTTTTTTTTTCATTATTATTTTCTTTCAACATATTTAAGTTATCTATCAGTTACTTTGTCAAGTTCAAGTTCAGGTCTTCTGGCTCGGAAGCATGTTTGTCTAGTTTTCGCATTTTACTTTCCGTCTTGTTTCGTCTTTGCTTGCTATTGTTGTTACTTCAAAAGGCAAATCGCTAGCGATTATGACGCTTTGGGGCAATGACAACGCAAATGTCGTGGGTTGAAATATTTTTCTGCTTGTTTTTGAAAATTTGAATTTGATCAATCTAAAGAGGTCGATTCCTGCTATACCCTAAAGGCGAAATAATAACATTTAATATTTATTTTGTATATAAATTATTATGGTAATCGTTAAAGTTTGACTGAAATATAATCAAATGCTTTTTAGAGGGAACGATAAAGATTTTTCATTTTCAGCAAATATATAAAAATAATAAAATTCGCTAGCTAATCACTTCTTTTATGCTTCGATGGTTGAATCAGTTAGAATTCGTGTAGCAAGCGTTTCAAGTACGGTAAATAATAAAATAACCACAAAGATACTTTACTTCAGGCATTTTTTTTTTTAAATTTTCGCTCAACTCACACAATGAAAAAAGATAGAGACTTTGATTATCAAAAATACTATCAAAATTGTGAAATGATTAATTGTTGTTGGAAAATGTTAAATATGGGAAAAAATTCATGTTGTTTTCCTTATATCGTGACACTTTACAGGAGGGAATAAAGGAAGAAATTCCGGTATTTGCCAGTTTGAGCGAAAATAACTTCTTCAAATCTTGCGAAATGAATTATATGTTCCGACATAAATCGGTTATTCTGCAACATCGCTTTCACCAAAGCGCAAAGTTGTGGCTAAAACATTGTGCCGATACGATGCTTTGTCAAAAGTGTTTGCTTGCTTTCATTCTAAAAATTTGACTTTTAAATACGGATTGCATCCTGATCCGATCAAATCGTCCCGATTGATCAAATCGTTCTTCGTTCGGTTCTTTAACAAATTGACGAAGACAGACACCTTGTATCTTATGGCATAGCTGCGGATCTAAGGCTGCTCACAAACATATGCTCGATATTTAAGCGTCGCATAGAGAAGCTGTGATCAGAATCTGTCGCTTGTGCCGGGCACTCGACATTTTTCCGTAAGATATTTGTGTTTGTGAGTTCAATTGGCGATAAGAACTTTTTACTTGCGAAACGATATTTACAGAAGAGATTAAGAAATATTAAAGTAATTGCGTAAAATTTGCTCCTGTTGCATTTCATAGTAGATTCAATAAATTAATTTTGACTTGATTATATTCAAAAGAAACACTGTAAAACGTCGCGACACGTTTGGTGGTCTTGTGCCACCTGTATACCTATGGAAACCCGGATTTCTGGCAGAGCTAAACAAAAGAAGAAACCACCTGAATCGGACTTGCATCGGCGAGAATGAAACAAAGAGCTTCTAAAACCAGTTGATGCAGAGACAAGATAATCTGACCCCAAACAGAATTAAACAACTTTTTAAATAACTTCCTTAAGGAATTATATAAATTGTTTCATGACTGCAAACGAGAGACTTATTAAGTCGGCCATGCCTTTGCAAAAATAAAAATCTCAAAAAGAAGAGAATCGAATCAGAAAGTCATTCTAAATCATAATCGATATAATAGAAGGTATGCCTTTCTCAAATTATTCTGGGCGTTCTACACATCCGCACAAATTTAATATTCCCTTCTACCACAAGTGATGTAGAATATAAAGGCGGAAATTATAAAATTAAAGGCTAAAGTGATTAGCCTGCTTTGCTTGCTTTACTCCTTGAAAGATGCACGTCAAATCGGGCAAAGATGTAAGAAGTATTTATATGCCTCGTTACCCTGTTAAATTTTTATACGCGCAAAACAAAATTAATTTTTTTTTTTAAATTCATTCATTTTCATGTCAAAATAATTTGTCTAAAAGTGCAACACAAGAAAAGCAAACCGATCAATCGACCTCATTGTATAACTAAGAGCAATAAGTGACTATAAAAGTTAAACGTTAAGTTATACCCACTGTAGATAAGTTAATCGCAACAATTCCACATGACGTTTAGATGTTTCGCCGGCTGGTTTACACTTAGAGTTAAGTTAGACTGTTCATGAGTTATTATGATGATGGTGGCGTTTGTTTGTTTTCAATTGCTGCGGCAAACATTTGTTAACACTTTAACAAGTTATGATTTGCGATATTGAATTACAAGTGTCGGCGGCAAAATATTATATTATTGCAACGTAGGCTCAAGATTGTAGCACATCTGTAGAGAAAAAAAAAGGCAACCTGCCTTCGATAGCAAAACACATGATATACGTGAAAACACTCGACTCGACTTAAGAGCACATGACAGCTCTACGGCAAAGCTAAAAACTGAAGTAGACTGAAAGACGACTACGACAACAAACAACGTAAGCAAATGTTTAAAGGCGCGCGATTATCTGTCTTGAAAAGAGTCGGTTTGCGATGTCGGAAAATGTTTTCACAGTTGTATCACAACGTGTAGGCAATTATAACACTCTAATGTAATAAAAGAAAAGCAATTTTCTAAACATAATATTTATGTAAATTTAATTGAATTATTTTTTCTTCTATTGTGTTTACTTACAGTACGTAATTTTAGTCCACGCATGGATAACAATGAATGGCGACCGGTAGGCAGAGGCGATCCTTTAAGAAATGATCCAACTTTTGATTACAGTCCTCCTGCATTGGAACGAGTACGTTACTGGGCCGATACCGAAAAAGATTTGCCAAAAACCGAAGAATTAGCGGCAGCCATAGTGGATGCTAAGTTAAAAAAGGCTAATCTCAGCAAAAATGACATACTTTTACTGGGTATCAGCGGCGACGATCGTTTCAGAGGTAACACTTTTCAACATCAAACACCATCGCAAACGTTTAAGAATTCTAAAGGAGAGACACCTGTACTTCAGCCCAAATATACCTCAATACGGCGCAGTTATTATGCTCATCAATTACCTACGCATTTAATGCCGCCCCCGCCAGTTCCACCCATTATGCCTACATCTCATACTATTAAGCCAGCACATGGCGAACATCGTCATACTATGCCCAGCTTTATGACTTCAGCTCCCGTAGCCCATATGAATCCATACTCAAAACATTATTATTCGACTACTGCTACCGCGCCCTGGATGCATCATGGAACTAATTCCGTTAAATCTTTAAGCTCTGTAGCCCCTCCGCACATGTCTCACCCTCCCGACATCCATCAGCAAGAATCTTCAAACTATTTGGTTTATGCAAGGCCAGGCTTAACAGTATCTAGCGAAGGATCTGGTCATCATGAAATGCATTCTCCCAATTCCATTCAAAATCACGTCGGAAGTATAAAGTACGGATCAGTTTCTCGAAAACCTTGGATTCACGATCTTTTACAAAAAGAGTTTATTAAAACACAAAAGCTTTCGACCACCACTGTTGCCAGCTCTCACGTGGAAACAGCAAAATCTCAAATTCAGGCAAATTTTGAGCCTATTGCAGGTCCAACCCTAGATACAACCACTACTACTGTCTCCTATATAAGGCCCACAGCAAACACTTTTGTCAATAGTAACAACACAACGCAAACGACACCTGTTTACATTACGACAACTAATAGATACACTAGCCCACCCGCCAGAACCACCGCTACCACTACTACTACGCATCCTACAAAAGCTAGTACAACTAAATTAAATACAACACGTTTACTAATACCCAATAGCAGTAATCTGTCTCATCGTCCCACTGTAGCACCTATGAAAATGACGACTGACTCTATGTTCTCGCATTACAATCAGCCCGAAAAACCGTTGCAAGGTCCAATGTATCTTATTATTGAAGGTCACTCGAAAGTCAAAACATATGGTAAAGGCGAACTTGATCCCCATAAACCAAAAATTGTACCTATTATACCCAAACGTGAACCGGTAGTTAGGAGAGGAGATCCCAATGAAAAAAGAGGTACGCCCGAGACATTTAACGTGAAACATTTGCACATCAGAACGGAACCGACCAAGCTGATGAGCTCTACAACAACACGGAAACCGATAACAATGCCTACGATTCCAAAAGCAAGATATACCACAAAAGTAACTCAAAAGCCGGGTAGAATGCCCACTACTACGAAGAGTGCCGTAATCACGAATGCAGCTACAAAAACCTTCAATCCATCTAAACTAATTGTTACAACTACATCCACTACGAAGAAACCAATATCTACCAAGGAACCAAAATTTCAACGTAAAGAATTTAAATCGCCGCCAAGGGATGTAAAAGCCAACGTGATCCCAAATGCTTTAGAAGTTACGAAAAATTTCAATAAAACTATAAAGAACGAGGAACCGAATGCTATGCAAGACTTTTTCAGTTTATTAGATTCCTCTCTAGATAGTTTACTAAAGAATAATGACTTAACCGATTCTGCTTCAGCTACTACAGAGACTTACCAGAATGACATAACAAAATTGAAACCAGTTAATGCAAATATTGAAGGAAGAGTTAGCACTAGATTCAATAGTATATTGGCGGACCAAGATGTTACGGTATCCACTACTACTGCAACTTTACCTCGTGAAACGAGACAAATTTTCGATTACGATCAGTTACCTGAGGCGAGAAAAAAACCGAAAGAGAATGTTAATTACAGCGATTTTTATGAAGACGAAGATCGAGAAGAAGATTTCTCAGATAAGGCCGACGAAGAAGAAGAGGAATATGAAGATGATGATATTGAAGATAATGAAGATCACGAAGATAATGATCATATACAAATAATAAAGCGTATTGATCAGTTTGTTGGCAGTCAAAGTGACGAGAATACAGATCAATTAGAAAATTTTGACACATTTAGCGACCTCATCGATGACGAAGGAGACATCGAACTAGAATATTCCACAGATAAAGAAAACGAGAAAACGTAATCCTAAGTATTTAAACATTATTTTTTTTCTTTTTTGGGAATAATTTTTTCTCTTTATTAAGCCAAAAGTCTTCAATTTTTTTTCGAAAAGCCGACAAAAAGAAAGAAAACAGAAATTATAAAAATTTAATGTTTTAAAAAAAAGTATTTCACTTAATGTACATACTTATATTAAAGACAGCTTTATTTATTGAAAACGACAAAGACAATTTTGTTCTGATCGCAATTATTTTAGTAAATACATAAAAAAAAAAAAAAATTTTTTTAGTTAAATAAGTTATTTTATTTATTTATTTATTTATTTATTTATTTTACTAGTTACAATTTAATGCAAATTGCATTTGATCAAATAAACAATACTTATAAATTTAACAAAACAAAAATTACGTTTTTTTATTCCCTAACACTTAATGTTCGCTTTAACGTTTTTTTTTAGTTTTAGTTTTTTAGTGGAACGCATTATTCCGGTGATGTTCCGTACATGTTTTATATAGTGATGATCAGAAAGAAGCATGGAAAGCGAAGAAGATAGGAACTGGGATCGCAGCCTAGCGCGTGTATGCCCAAATCAATAAATCTTATGCTTTTACCGACTAAGCAGCCGCAATAGCTACGTCCAAGTGTAGTCAACTGTGCTGAGATTTGAACCCATGAACACCGACTTGGAAGTCGCGGTTCTTATCCACACGGTTATGCGGCATCCTAATGGCTATATAGAAACCTCTAAGATTCAAGTAGTGTTAACAACAATGTCCGAACAATGAATGGAATAAAATTTATGGGAGTATTGTAATTTTTACCTGATAAGCAATACAACGCAATCTATTCATAATGCAAAAGATGATATAATACCGGCCACTTGTTATGCCGATTAGCAGAATTGACGCTCCCTATACTATTAGAGACGATCAAGAAATTAACTATTCGGCATTTCCTTTTATTAGTGTGAAGAGTTACTTATCACAAACTACATAAAACAAGTAAGAACATTATAGTTTGTCGATGCCGACCATTACATACCCTACACCACTTCGCTTAATACCGTTATTCGTTCGTTTTGGTAATAATACACTAAAAAGTACACATTCTTTTAATTTTCATGAACCCCAGAATACTGGATGGTTAAAATTTTTCTCCATGTATTTACTAATATGCGCCAATTTTCACCATGAAATATAGAAAATTCGTCCTTTTTACCATATAAAGCTTTAGTTTTCGCAGAAACAGTTACATAAGAGGAAGTTCAAGAATTGCCTCGACCGGTCCAAAGTTTTCACACCAATTTAGAATGTCGAAATACCACTATTTCGCCAATTTTGGCGAAAGATTTTGAAAATTGCTTCGGAGTGGCCGGAAAAGTGGACTGATCCGAACCATTTTCAATAGGGTTCATTCTTGGCCCAGAGTACGTCAGTGTACCAAACTTTATCAAAATATTTCAAAAATTAGTACCTGCAGCTTGAATATAAAAGTACATGGACAGACAGACGGACAGATACAAGCTGGGTCTACCGCAAGTCTTTCTGCGCTAAACTAATTTAATATACCCTGAACCACAAGTGGTATAGAGCATGAATACCAACAGAGATTATATAGAACATATCCTGAAAGACATGCCTTACTACTATCGACATCCCATACGCAAGTGCAAACCTAGTGTCCGGTTACCTTTTGCCGGTTCCATATTTCTGAGGAGAGTAGGAACATCAGTGACGTGATTACTAATTGCTTGGACAGTTACTTTTTTTCGAAGAATCACAAAGCCTTCAATTTTTTGAGGAAACGAATTAAATTTGTGACGATGTATGCAGCATCCAGATGGTCTTAACATATACCCATCTTTTATTGTACCGAACTATTCAGATCATTGTCTGAATCGATTTATGCTCGTCTGTCTTACAATACTTGCATTTAGTGTTGTAGGAATACAAAGTGCTGCAAAACATGTGTACATTAGGTGATTCTTTTTAAATAATCGGAAAATATCTATCCAAAATCAAGGAAATCAAAGATACCAAGGAAGTAAGATAAAAAAATATTTGGTTTTGTCGTCATCTTTATTATAGTCAACACTACCTGTAGTCTGGAAGGATGTGTCAAGTTTGTGTCGATATATGGAATATCCAGCAGAACGTGAGGCAGACCAATCCAATATTATGCCGGTCAATCGGCAACACTATTCGGATAGTTTGTTTATGCGAAACCTTTACGAAATATAAACATAAACAAAATAACAATGTTGCGCGGAGAGTTTTTCTGAGCTATTGTTTATTTTTATAGAATAAGATGAAGCTTTTGTTCATTTTCATCGAATAAGGTGCGGTTTTTCTTCATTTTGATCGAATAAGGTTTTGTTTAGATACGCATTGTTTCTTGCACATGCAAATGGATAAAAAGAAATTGAATGATTTATTGGAGATTTTTTTAAAGAAATAACTTTCTGCCTAAAAGCTTGAGAAGCGGTAACGTATAACTCATAATAATGAGTGCTTTTTAACAAACGAACTTTTTCCTTGCATTTGAATTGATATTCGAATATATTTACTTAATTTTACATATATAAAAACTTATTTACAGATTTAAATCGAGTGAAAAATTAAGAAAAATTAAAAATATTTCAAATAAAAACAGCTTGAAATTAAAAGAATTTTTTCGAAATAGTGAAAACATAAATAAATAGTTTAGTCTTTGAATCGAAGAAATTCGACGAACTAAAAGTGAGTATAAAATTAATTTAGCGCAAAATGACCAACCAAGAACGACTAACCTTTTGGACATTCTAACATCAGCTTCAGAACCGAACATCAATTCTATATATGGCTTTTTTAATACTACTAAGCTCATTATCTAATGTACATTTATTTAAATTAGGGCCGATAGCCGGTGTTGCTAGTGCTCAATGTCTTTTCTATGATCTAAGAATTGATTTCATTAGTCTAAAATTATAATAATAATAATAATACTTATACGACCATCCATCTCCTTCAAACCGCAAACCGATAAAAAGATAACTTAAAGAACCTGTTTGTGTACCCACGTAAAACTCATGATTTTCGGTATAAAATGGATTTTTTACATTGCTGGTTGTCCACTTCATTTTAAATGAAAATAATCAATGACCTGGGATTAACTTTTGTTTTTGAGATATAGAACGAGCCCAGATATATGTGGCTTATATATCCACAGAAAGTTTATCAAATTGTTCACAAGATAAATGCGGTACAACAATAAAAAGATAAACATATTTTGCTGATGTCGTGCTGTCAAGTTCGCATTTCTCCAAAAACCAATGCTATTCCTCTAGAAACAGCTGATGAAAAAAATAAACAAAAAGAAAAAATCTCACGGTTTTCCGCATCACCTTAGAGGTACCATGTGGGCGCGTTGCCAATTATTTTGAATGGCTGGCTCCCCTGTAGGCCTACACCGTTATAAACTTGAGTTAAAAACTACAATAATATTTACAATAACAGTTATAAAATAATTAAAAAGTAGCTTGCTGCGCGGCTGTCATTAACATCTTCATTCGCAAAAAAAAAATTTTGTAGTTTCAAAATTTTATAAATTAAGTTGATCGCGAATTTACCATTTGGCCTACGGCAGTCTTATATAGTACTGAAGCAATAGTGCGGACGTATTAATGAGCCTTGGTGGCTTATGGGAGATTGGCGACGGCGCATCGTTTCTTGTTTATCTGCGAAGAAAAATTAGAATATAAGATAGTAACGTATCAACATTTTTATGCTAAATTTGAATTACCTGTGTGAAGACACGTGCTTGTCAATAGACTCTCTGCAGTTTTTCGTTTTTAGCAGCATAGTCAGGATGAAACCAAGCAAATTTCGTCGGTGCAATCTGCCGGTAACGCATGACGCATCTGATTTAAAGAAATCAATATTTGCTACCACTGAAGCTTGTATGCGTTTCCCTATCTCTGCCTCGAGCATATACTTGCGCATCACAGCATAAAAAATTTCGAATGCATCGTTTACTACTGGTTTTGGGAATGCCGGCTTGATGAGTTTGTTGGTTAGGATGATGGTGTCTATGGGGTCTTTCGTCATCTTCTCATCCATCACCTCTTTGCAGAAGTCGCGCTCCTCCTCCGTCATGTCGTGTAGGCAGTGACTGCAATTTAGCTGCTCACGGATATAGTGACTTAGTCCGGAGGCCGTGTACAGTCTGTTTATGTTTTTGGAGATTCTTAAATACCTCTGCATCGATCCCGAATGGTGCGTAGTCTTCTTCGGGCTCTTCTTCAATTTCATAATCAAGGAGGTTTGTTAATCGGTAGTAATTGTCTGTTTTAAATCCGGTTTTATATTTGTAGATTTCTCAGGCGATTGCACAACTGCACGATCTCGGGAGGCGATCTGGTCCTCTTTCGAATCGATTTGGCAATATTTAGGAAGAATGCCTCAAGGAGGTCTTGGCTTACCCTGCATGAAGTTAAAGTTGGATCAGGGTAAGCCTTAGTCAAATCTACCATTAATTTTGAAAAGTTCGTTGCGGTCTTTTCTAAGGCAATGGTAGTGGGGTTCTTTTTGTACATCTGCTTTTCCTTGTTTTTGGAATGCTCCCTTTCGGAATTTGAATGGATCCGAAAAAAAAGAAAAGAAAAAAGCAATAAGTAATAAATAATAAATCGAAATAAATTCACTTCACTAAGAAAAGTGTATAAATAGTCGATTTAATGACTTACATTTGCAGTTCTATGAATATTAATAATTATTTAGGATATATATATTTCTTTTCTTCTTTTAAATCCAAAATTTTAATCGATAGATCTAACAACACTTACCTGCTTCAATATATATTATTTCTGATTGTGAAATAATTTGCGATTTTTCTTAAAAGTTTTTTCTTATTTAGCAAACTTCAACTTTTTCAATTTTTGATCAATTTTGAACAATTTTGAACAATTTGAATTAATTTTTCTTATTGGATTGGTTGCTGTTCTTTTTCTTTTCTTTTATTTAAATTCATAACCAAGGCGCACTCTCTTTTTTATTTTCTCTCCAACATTCTCTCTCTTTGATTCTCTTCTATAAATGTATTTGAATAAAGAGATTTTTCCGTTGCTCCTGATGCTTTTCGCAAAGCAGTAATCATCTGGAGCTTTTAGTCCCGGATTGGGTGTTCAATACGAAATAAACATTTTATGGCAAGATTATGCATCCATTGACTAGGTATATTCGAAAAAAATTCGTTGATCTCGCACGCAACTCTTCGGAATCAAACCGCTTAAATACTCTTCAGCCTTTTTTTTTAATATATAAATGTGAAATTATGTTACATTTTTTTATAAAGAATTTAACGAAGCCTTACCTATCCTATAACTGTCTTATTTGGCTCAATCGAAGCGTTTATATACATAACTATATAATAAAATTTCTTTTTAATTTGGAAGTTTATCCTTTTAATTATTTACTAATTTGCTTGCTCTGATTTACTTGAAGCATAGAACTTAATTTATTTAGAAAATTTTAGTTTCACATATTTATCGCAGTAGTAAATTTAAAATATATTGCAAAGAGAACTTGCAAGCAGCTGTTTAAAAAGTTAGACAGGGTTGTTATATATTTACTTTTGCTTGCATATTCTGTTAAAAGTTACCAGTTGTGAATACCAAAGGAGATAAAACGACCAGCAAAAAGATTAGATAATAATGTTCAAAGCATGTAACGGATTTTATTAATATTGAATTTTAGTTAAAAAGGCTTTAATTGGTTTTATTAATATAATTTTTTTCATTTCGATTTTTGAGCAATGTTTTTAATTCCTATGGTATAATAATAACGCTAGTAAGAAAAGATTTTTTTATTTATTTATTCATTTATTTTTATTTTACCCATTTATACATGAAATTCAACTAAAGAAAATTACAGTCGAATTCAGTGCATCTTAAGAGAAAATCTTAAATTAATTGTTTTAAAAACTGGTATACCATAAAAAGGCAGATGAAAAGAAGAATAATAAGATTTGAGGTTTCAATATCATCCGAGGACTCAGCGCCATTAAAAGCAACATACGAGGGATTTATGGATATTGTTCTTTTGGAATTAACAAACATAAAAAAGTATTTAGGATTAGCAAACAGAGAGGATTTAATAAACTGAAGGTATCTGCAATAATATTGGTGGTTGAGTGAGTTAAATCTATACCTTACTATATCGGTAGGTTTAGATTGCTTGGCCACTTCACATATGAGGGCGGTGTGTTTCTTATATGTAGAAATATCCGAATTTGGGGGAATATAAGAGCAAGTTTTGGCTTAAGCATTTATCTACTTCCTATATGAGATATATCTGAAAAGTGGCATATATATGTACGACTTTAAATGCGGTATCTTCTGACACTGTTCAGGATCCGTATTTTTGCTTCAGGGAGACAAAGAAGGGTGCATGATATATTTCCTGACTTCTATCGTTTTCACATCTTTTCGGCTGCTCGGTAGCATTGTCGTTATCTTGTGTTGCCCTTGATCTCGGCGTTAGCTTTTTTAGCCTTGCCTTTACCTATGTAACTGCCTCGTTAGTCTTCGTTTCCACTTGTGCGACATGCTTTCCGACTACCCCATAGCTGCCGTCGGAACAGCTAATTGTAACTAAGCTAGCTGATATAAAATGTTTTAAAATTGATCTAATTCGAATTGTTTCCCTTGCATGGAAGGATACATATTTTCAAATTCTATCTGGGGAATTTATGGTGCAAGTTTTAAGTTTGTATACTATTTTGATCTTGATGATCGATTGATTAATCTTTTAGTGTAAACGAAAAAAAGGCAAAAGAAATAAAAAATTACTAACATCACCTTCTTTGGTATTAAATTTGAATAAACAACTTCCTTCAATCATTCCGCAATGCAACGTACTATCTACGGTAATTTAAAAAGGCAGCAACATGTACAAAGAAACTGCAACCAATCGGAAGCGAAAAGAGAAATGTGATTTAAGAGAAACGTTATAAAGGTAATTTGACCGACTCTTTCGATACTCAGTGCCCATGCAAAGTTCGATTTTATTTCGATCATTTGGAAACTATGCGATAGCCGATTTTACGATTTTGTTATCGTCATATAATAGTTTTTACATTAATGTTTTTAATATGCATATTGTTCGCGAGAGCAGTAAAACGTGACAAATAATTGGCGAAAGAAGTGAACAAACACGCATTTCTATGCGTTGCAACATCTAGTATACCCTATGGTGGGTAGAAAAACATGCTTTTAAATAAGGTCTCTAAATAAGGATGCGCTACTAGCTGCATCTATTTTGTAATAAAATCTCATACTTACAGGTGTATGTGGAATATATATATTAAAATATATTGGAATATATATCCAATCCAATTCATAAAGAAATCTCTCGCTAGATAGTCCGAATAGTGAAGGAAGGGATGTACAGACTTAATTGTAAATATATTGGATAAATCCCAGCGTGAAAAAGAAAATCTTATTAAATAAATCGAAGTGTGTGTTGCAAACAAATAAAAAAGTAATTGCACTCTTTTATAATGAAACGCACTGCAAGGAGATATAATTGTAAGAGAAATCCCAAACTAATGAGCGACGAGAACTGTAAAGCCTTTTCGTATTTGTTATCTGTTTCGTAGCTCTCTCATTTAAAACGATAGAAAGTAAATAATGAAAAATGAAATATTTCTTAACAAAAAAAAAAAAAAAAAAATCTTTGCTTCAAACTGAGCAAAAGTGAGTCTGCTTATTGCATTCACGTTGATCGGTTAAGTGCTAGTAGCATTTTGAACGCCTAAAGAAATAGAATCTTCAAGCGTATGACTGATCTCTCCTGTACGGAGTTTTTTTTAGTGTAAATATAAAAACAAAATTTAATATTATTCGTAAAGAGATCTTGCTTTAAAGGTGAATAAATATATTAATTGATAAAAATATGTTATGTGCATTCGGTTTTATTTCTTTTATGCATCGTTGTTTGACAAAAGAAATACAAGTGGAAGTGTAGATAACCATCGGATAAAGTGGAAATTAATTACGTGCAACAGTGATCGCAAAACATTTCAAGAAGTACTCGAAACTCATATGTTTTCCATTATACCTCAATCCACTTCCCGATTCACCTAATATATTGGGAATAACTTGAATTGTTCGCATATTTTCGGGATTATTCAAATCTTCTTAGCATAAGCAGAGGATTTATTTTTCATTTCATCATTTGATTTCCGAAAATTAGTTAAAAAATGCATTTGTCATATTTGATCTCTCTTTTCAAAAATCCATTTACCCCTTAGAAGTGCTCCTATATAGTCATATAAAAAAAAAATCTAAGAAATCATGCATTGATCGGGCGGAATGTGCTTTTAGTAAAATTGTTATATATTTTTACCAGGCGGTCGTAGGTACAATGGTATCAAAAAACGTAGACAAAAATCCATTTACTTTGCACAGACAATAATAACGAAAAAGCGGCTAAAAGCTATTAAGTGAATTAAACATGAAAACTGTTATGATTTAAAGCATTTTAATTTTCTTATTATTTTTTTTTTCAACCTCTCTTTTTATTTTTGCAATTCCTTTACAACGAACTTATGAGAAGAGAGCAAAAGTGCATGTGAATGCAAGAAATTGTCTAATTATTTTGTTTGAAAATTTCATATATAAAACAAAAAAACAACATACATTGGATAGGTTGTCGTTGCAAAGGGTAAACAAAATCGAAAATATATATAACATGTGTTGCATTTAAAAATTTTAGACAGCAATTATACAAACATATGCTGTGTATGATTAGTGTGATGACCTTGAAATGTGATTGAATAGTTTTGAATAATTTCGAATATATAGTCACGTGTACATTGTATACTCAAGAACTATTCGCGCTATAAAATTTGGTACAACGACCTGCCGGGACTATTGATTATCGTAATTATAAAAACTTGCGAAGCATTTTATAAACAAATGCTGTTGTCGTCTTTTCTACGATTAAATAAAGTACTAAGCATTTTTAAAGTCAAATATAATTAAAAAATGATATCAAATTCCAATTATGATAAGAAAATTGTTCTTGTTGTTGTTGTTGTTGTTCTCTTTTTTTTTTTTAAAGTTAAATTTGTTCGCTTTAAGCGACGCGGCCAGCGCAAATTCATCGATATTCAATGGAAGTGCTTGAAAGCTTGATAAATAAAAATATTTTAAGAAGCATAATAAAAAAAAATTAAATCTAAAATTGTGGAAAGGGAGCTGGAATTGAAAAAATAAAATGAATTTTGACATCTCTTGTAGATTACTTATTACTATTGCTATTAAGTAATATTAATGGAAATATTAAAATCCAGAAATTAAACCAAATATAACCGCACTCATAATTTCTTTTTCACGATAATAACACGTGATATTTGGATTGTAAGGACTACCCATATAAGAGAGTATAATACATTACCGGTCCTATTCGACTTGAAGTTTCGCTAAATTTAATCCATCTTACTCATGCTTACATACTTGAAAGGAGATATAAATACAGATATAGATACAAATTCTTTGAGTACAGGAATAATGGCGCGTAAAATAATGAAGTGAGGCAATCAATCGTTCTTGGAAAAAATAGCTGAAAGATATAAGACCTTTGCATGCAAAAATACAATGAAACACGTTTTTTTGATTAAAGCCATGAGATGAGGCATTCAATGGTTCTTTTGTTGAATGGTATTTGGCTATGTGTCTGTCTCTAATCTTAGGCTATGCTTAAGTTAATTTAAATTCTTTGCATATTTGAATTGGATAAAATCTTCTTATAAGAGACTTGCTGACTTTATTATCTGATGAAGATCTTATTGGAAATATGAACAGTTTAAGCTTGTAACCCAATTAAAGTATTCAGTAAAGATTTTCCCCAAACTTTTTTTAATATTGACTCAACGGAAGAGTAAGTCGCATTGTTTGGCCAAAATTCTCTTCCATATTGTAAGTGAACCTTATTATATTAAATATGTGCCATTTTGATCGATAGATCTTTTGCTCTTAACGAAAACTGACTGTTTTCTTTTTCTTTTTGCCTTTGAGAGATGGACCTACGAAGACCCGTCATCCTGAATATATGTAATGCCATAATGCCAGCCAACCGTGTTGTGTATCATATCTAAGGGCCATAGCACATTTCAAAACTCGCGCTACTAAGATGATTAATATGACTTTCGTATTTTATTTTTTATGACGTCTGACCTTGTTTAATGATAACAAAGGTGACGTAAAAAAATTTGCACAGTTTACATACGCATTGAAAGTGAGATTAGTGTAATTTCGTTCGACGCTAGTATTGATATTTACAATATAAAAATAAATTCCGTAGACGATAGAAAAATTAATATCAAATAATACTCATTCTAGAACGAATCTTAGATACCTAATAATCGTGGTGCTTCTTTGTTGATTGCGAATGAACGATTAGAGTCTAACCAGTTCGCCCATCCGAACTCTTTATGGGGTTCCGGTAAATATTTTTTGTAAACTATTCATCGATATTCGCTTTGACCGCTAACTTATTGACATTTGCAAATATCATCGAAGATTGTTTCTATACATTTTTTAGATATTGCAAGCATCTTTAAAAGAACAGAAGAAGCACTGTCTACCAACTATCACGCCTTCAGGGTAGACTTATCTTACGAGTAACTTTGTCAAAAGATGCGAATGATGCGAAGACGCGAATGATCTGCTTAGTTGTTGCCCGAACACAAGATCACAAAAAGAAGCAAAGTATCAAGCAAAGCGTGTGATTAGTTATGTAAGCAGATTTACCGAGAGATCGCGTTAGGTGACCTCATAGCCTGCTCAATTCCTATTTAAATCTTCAAGTTTTCAGATTTTCTTGGGCTGCCGAATGGCTTGTTATGGAATGTTCTTCCGTGGAAATTATCCCTACGAAGTATTTTTCTTATAATTTCGTGATTGCATGTCTTTCCAAGTAATTTTTCTGCTTCTTTCGCTAGAGCTTGTGTGCATAAACTGGGATCTTGCTTAATTTTTCGCACGATTAAAAGTTCGTCTGCCCTCTGCAAAGATTTTGTTTGGTGCTTCGCGACTTTTTTTCTCGAACATGTCTTTGCATTTTCGGCAATTTGTTTTTTTTTTTGCATTTTTAAATTATTTAATTACAAGGTCACGGATTTCAATTGAAGTTCGCCGACCCATAACCAAAATGTAATTAACTGTCGCTTTCAAAGTACAAAACTGTATTTTAAAATGTTTATCACTTCCTTCCATTCATATTCGTGTTTCTGGACGAATTGTTAAGAGGCTTTTATAACGGTAAATCTCTACAACACCAAATAAGCTTTGTGATCTCTTTTCTTTTGTTTTTATTGTGTTACCAAATATTTTAAGAGATGCATAATTTTTTTTATCTTTCTTTTGTCCTTCTAACAAGTAAATGATATAGCAGTAAATGATGTTGATAATGCAAGTGATTTCTTTGTTTATTTTAATTAAATTGAAAAAAGATGGAGTTATGTTCTTTTGAAGATAGATCTCACGAAGTACGGCGTGCGCCACTTGTAAGTATTATCATGTTTGAGAAATGTTAAAAAATGTCAATACCGCAGCTATTATCATGAATACCTGTCGCGAAATGTCTTTATGTGGTACGCAATCTAACTACTAACTACCGTTACTTTGAATCGACAAAAAAAAAAATCAAATAATCTTCATGGGTATATCTCAGACATGCCCGTAGGTCGTATCATATTTCAAATAATTCGATTTGCTCACACATAGCAATGCTACAAAAACATTGTATTTGCTTTTACTATCTGCACTTGAACTGACCGAATTGTGCTTAAGCGTTGTTTTTTTTTTTTTTTTTTTTTGTTAATTAGGCCATGAAAGGAGCGATGTAAAAAAAAAGACTTTTAACAATAATCGAACCCTTTTCTGACCCTCGCCGTAATATGCGAATTACAATTGGTGCGTAGATGAAAAAAGTTGCCCATCCCTGCTATACCTAGTGCAGCACCTAAGGGATTTTAAAAATATTATACGATTTATGTGCGATTGATGAGTATTTGAATTAAAAAGTTAAATTTTCAATCAAAAAAAAAAATCTTTCGCTAATAAAAAATGTCTAAATTAAGCCCTACGTGGTGCATTATCTAGTTAACTGCGTCGGCCTCAAATACGCAGCATTCTAAACTATTTTATTACGGCAAATACACATTAGGACGAAATTCGACAATAACGAATCGACGGATCCTGAGATATATACTTACCGCATACAGTTAACTGGTTAAAGAATGCCATTTCGAAAGCTTTACTAAGAATTTCCATGGAAGAAGCGTGGTAAGTCCGGTAAAGGCCGTTTTCAAAAATCGGGTTGCGAGAAAAACGCACTTAACATTTTTAAATGTTTTGTACGGCAATAAAGTTTTATTTTTTTTTTCCTCATAGTTTGCACTAAGGGTTTCTTGCCTGAAAGTGCATCCTTTGCACCATCTATCAAAGGCAAAATCGCACGTTTTACACGTTACGTATAGCAGAGACGCGTATGGCAGAGAGAAAATGATAAGAAAATTTATAATATTGGAGGCGACTTCATTGGCGAACTTTATCCCAAATTTTCAAGTTATTATCAGAAGTATTTTGCAAGCTTTCGAATCGCTCTCATTCTCATATCCGCTCAACAATTGTCTGCCTTAACATATTTTTGTTTCAAAATACCTATCAACATCAAACTTTTTCAAAGACATTAGGAGAGGTAGAAATCAATAGTTAAAACATTTGTTCCGCCAAGATTTGTTTTTGGAGCACTTAGGGAAAAAAATTTCTTTTCAGATAAGGAATTTTTTGTAGAAGCTCCAAAGCATCTGTTAAATCAATAAAAAAATAGTTTGTTTCTGAACTAAACGTTAGCCCCT